TGGAGATTCTCATAATCTTGTTCACGTCTGTTCAGCGTGATTGAAGCTGCAGCCTGTATATCGATCTATACATTAAATGAAGTCATTGTGCATCCCCTGGACTCGTGCCCTGAACCTGGGTTTTGTGCTGCTGTCTGACTTCTGTCTCATCTGTGGTGCTGCCTTGGACTCTTGGTTAAATGGCTTCGTGTCAGAGGGAGGTGGGGGGAGGAGAGTACATTTCTTGTCTACTTTGGGAGGATTTCTGGCAACAACTTAAGAGGGAACAAACGCATGTTGTTTTGAAGTACTCGTCAGTGCTTGGTATGTTGTATATATACTTTTTTCCTCTCGACAGATGCTACAGCTGCCACAGCCCCAGTCCCTACAGCAGAGGTTGGTGCTTCTCAGGAGGATGAGCAGGTGTTTGAGCCAGCTGATACCTTGCCCTCCCGGAGCGAGGCAGCCGCAGTGCAGCCCGTCATTGGGATCAGTCAGAGAGTGCAGATGAACTCCAAAGAAAAGAAGGACTTAGGGACACTAGGTACAAGCCCAGGATCATGTGCTGGATCCATTCCTGTAATTCTGTTGGGATGGATTTGTTTTGAAGCTCTGAAAGGTACTGCCTCTAATTTTGTCTCTTTTTCTTTTCACAGGGTATGTGCTGGGGCTGATCATGATGGTGATAATCATTGCCATTGGAGCTGGCATTGTCCTGGGATACATCTATAAGAGGTGAGTGACTATTCTCATTTGTCCAGAAGCTGATGTGTATAGAGCAGGAGTGTGTGAGCACCTGCAGACCTAATTAGATCCCAAGGAAAAGGGACATATGTTTGGTTGTGGGACATTGAGCAAGAGTTTTGCTTGTGCCACTGAGGAAAGAACTATTGAAGAGTTAATCCCATTCTCCATTTCACCCATCAGTGTGGTGTTCTGTCCCATTTAAAGTTTCAAATTGCCCTCTTTTTTCTTTGCTTTTTTGTGTGTGCATGTGTGCCTTGATGTGGCTTCAGATGTGTTATTGGGAGCTGGAATTTATGCAAAGCTGGAGAGAGCAGATCCCAGGTGCCCTCTGTGATCAGAAAAAGAACAATCCTTCTAGCAGGCCACCTGTTCCCCTGCTTTCTCTAGTCTAGCTTTAGAAGAAAAACAATTGGCAATTTTTTTGCCACTCATGCACTGTATCCTGTGAAGCTGGATACCAACTAGCACTTCTTTTTGGTCAAAGTTCATTTTACCAAAGCTCCCGTATACTTTAAGATCAGTTTTCATTCACACTTCGGTTACTATTTCTTCATCCACTTCACTGTGTTGGATGGAAATGTTTCTGTAGCTCAGCAGCCGCTTAGTTGTAAGAGAGAGGGCAGGATTAACAAATAGCAGTGATTGTCACTGCAGCAAGCGAGGGCCCAGGCTCCCTCCTCTGGGAGGGTTGGTTCTGTGTTTTGGCTGTTTGACAGCAGTCTGACACAACCAAGCAGAAGGAGCCCTTTCCCAAGCTGGGACATGTCCTTATGTAAGTGTTTATAATAAATGCCGACAGAAAAAAAAACAGAGGGAGGAGTGTTACATAAGGGGCAAAACACAGAGCGCTGCTTGTCGAGGAATCTGATTTGAGGTGTCACTTCAGAGAATGCTGTCTTGTGCGCTGGCAGGGACGGCAGCCGCTGCTGCACGCTCGTAGGCAGCTTTGAAAAGCAGCCAAAATGCTGACAGGAAACCCCAGCAGCTCCGCCTGGCTGGGATCACGAGCCCCGGGAGGAGCTCTGTGTGCCTGTCCCACCTCGCCGCTCTCCTGGGCAGCAAGAAGCAGGTTGGACTTTGTCCAAATGCAGCTTTGCTTCTCCAGCCACAGATTGCTCACAGCAGGGCTGCAGTGCAGGTTTACTGTCTCCCTCCTTGCCTTGATGTCCAAATTGCATGTGCAAGCTGGCAGGTTTGGGTAGGTGTGGTGAGAAACCTTTAATGGGTTTGGTAGCTTTGGGTATACATAGCTTTTCTGGAGACAACATGCTATTAATGCCAAATCCATTTTTAAAGTAAGGCAGCTCTTCCTCAGCACAAATTACAGAGGTGTTCCTTCCCTTAGCAACAGGCAGGAAGATGAGGTAGGTTTGAGAGCTGGTTGTGGAGTTAGGCTCTAGCTGCAGCAGCAGAAGGCAGGGCCAGCTCTGAAGTCAGCTTTAATACTTTCAGGGACAGCTTAATTCACTGCAACAAAAAACAGAAGCTGTCACCGGCTCTGGTATTTGCTTCAGATGAAGCAGGTTACAGAAGCCTTTCTCCACAGCAGTGGGCTCTGCACTGTCTCACTACTCCCCTGGGCCTGCACCAGGCTGTGCGGGGGGACTGTAAGGGATAAGGAAACAGATGGCAGCTCCGTGGTTTGGAGGGGAGGCCTGGCTTTACAGTCATCATTTAGGATCAGCAGTGTCAGTGAATGAGCCAGTTTGAAGGAGGGACAGACTTCACTTGGCTGCTTATTTTTTAAAGATGCTCAGCTGGGGTCCTCTGCTTACGGTTGGGAATATTTTTAAGTAGCTGAAACAGCTGTTTATCTTATAGTAGAGAAGAGGGGACTCTGCCCTTTTTCACCTTTACTGAGACTGCCTCCAAGCAGTGGCACTCACCCCATGCACATGTTTTTTTTTATTTTAATGCAGGGGGAAAGACCTGAAGGAGAAGCACGAGCAGAAGGTTTATGAGCGGGAAATGCAGCGCATCACGCTGCCACTGTCTGCCTTCAGCAACCCTGCGTGCGAGCTGGTGGAGGAGAACACCATCGAGGTGCACACCACCCAGACCCCCGTGGAGGACACGGGCAGCGGCCCCCTCATGGGGCAGGCGGGGACTCCTGGGGCCTGAGCAGCTCGGGCAGGAGATGCAGGCTGAGCAAAGCCTCCAGCTTCCCACTGTGAGTGCAGGGGGTGCGTGTGTTCATTTCTGTTTTGTTTTCTTTTCGATGAACGCCGGCTGAGGGTGATGCAGAGGAACAGAGCAACGGGCTATTCATCACGATCTGTTGGAGGGGCACCGTTCAGTGCGTGACTGGCTGGGGACTGGTGTGGTGGACCCTGCTGCTTCCTCCCACCTATCTCCGTGGTGTGCCAAGGAGCTGGGGGGGATGATGGGCCAGGCTCACGACTGGCCACAGATCCCATAGCCCAGAGTGTGGTCTTGGCTTCCTCTGTTTCTGTTCCTTTCCTATTTAATGGTGTGCACTGTTTCTTAAGTTTCAGCCTGGAACCCCAGGAGGGAGCAGTACTGCAGGGACTGAGGGGAGCTTCACATCAGACTTAGCTACATAATTACACTCTGATTATAGTTCCTGCCTTTTTGCTTTAGTAGCTGAGAGCTGGAAACACTGTCCAGAATTCTGCTACTGGATCGGTTTTATTTGCCAAGGAAGAGTTTATCTGAGGGATGTCTTTGGCCAGGAGCAGTGTGTTTAGCCCCAGTGTCAGTTTGGAAAAGCTCTCCTCAAGCTCTTGACAAATCCAGGTCTTCCAGGGCTGAGGCCACGTCTCCATTCCCCTGTGGTGGTACATGCACAGCTCCAGTTGTAGGTGTCTGGGTGGCCTGTGTGTGCCTCCTGCTCACTTACACAGATCAGGAGACCAAGGGCCAGCAGTAGATATTTGTGGAGTGAAGAAAACTGCCCTTCAGTTACTTAGAGCAGGTAAACACTGAGGAATAGATATCCTCTCTGGAATTCCCTTGGCCTCCTACAGAGCCAGTGCTGGACAGAGTGGCCAAGCTGTGGAGGTCACCCAGATCCCAGTGCAGCAGCTCTGGCTCCAAGGGCAGGACAGGGCAGTTGTTTTGTAAGATCCTGAAGTCATGGCGTGGCTCCCGGCCCAGCCTCTGCCACTCACACTCAGCTTGTGCAGCAAGACTACTTACTTACAGAGCCTGGCCCTATTAGAGAGGTTTTGTAATGACTTTTATTAGCATTTCAGGGGGTTTGGAAGGGATGGTTGCTGCAGTGTCTCCCAAGTGGCACCAAGGCAAGGCCAGTTCAGGGAAACACCCGTCCCCACCTCCGGGGATTCAAGCCATTCAAGTTAAGTTTTCTAGCCATCTGCTTTATAGCTGTGGGCCTAACAGGGAGCACCACTTGGCAGCAGGGGTTTTAGTGTTAATGTTTGATTCTGAAAAGGGAAATGTTTTATTTTTAAATGCCTTTGAATACCATTTCTTTGTAAAATGTTTTAAATACCTCATTATGAGAAGGTGCAGACTGTGCTACCTTGTATTAAAGCTTAAAAGAAAAATGCTCTGTAGACCTGTGTGGACTGTGGCTCATCTGTGCATTCCTCAGCCAGAGCAGCACCCTTTGGATTGTTGTAGATTGAACTGAGAAGAGAGGAAGATGCCACTTCAGTTTGCCAGGCCCAAAAGTAAATTCCTACAAGCAGTGCCTTCCCTCACCAGCACTGACATGGGACATGGAGCTTGTCTCCTTGCTGCCAGCAGCTGGTCTTGGACTGGGACACTGTTCCTGAAAAGCAGCTGGTGACTCAGCAGCCTGGCCCATGGGAAGACACTCTTGGTTCCAGCCCCTTCCTGCACTGACACGGGTCAGTTCTGCTTTGGTGCTGCTCAGCAGCAGCTCCTTCCCTTGGGAAGCACGATGGAGATGGAGCACAGTGTGTTACAGGAGGCACTGACAGAGCATTTTTGTTCACTTGTTGTCTTAACAAATGCCCCTTGGACTGCATATTTCAGAATAAGAGGTTTCTAAGAACAGGCTGTGTTTTTATCCCTGCACTAGAAAAGGAAAATGAAAGGAGGCTCTATGTTCTGCTGACTCCTGTCCACCCTTAGAAACCAACCAACCAACGAACAGAACTGAACAACTTCTCTGGGTAAACAGTCCTACAGAGCCCTTGCACTGTGAGTCTGCAGTTCTGTGAATGTGGCAGAGCCCACTGACTCAGAAGGGGTGTTGTAGATGGTACCTCACCTGGACACTGTTGATGTTGCCATGTTGTGACTACAAATGAAACCCGAGAAAGTTACGGCTTCCGGCTTTATTGAACACAGAGACCACAAAACCTCATCCTTAGAGCGTTCAGTTACTGCTTTTTAATTTAGTCAGAGCGTGGGGCTGTGCAAATCACAGTTCATAAACCCCACCCACACATCACCCAGGACTCTCCCCTTCAGGGGTCCCCTCACAAACCAGCCTGGGAGGGGGAATGAAAGGGCAAATCCTATTAATAATCCTGAATCCACTGGACCCAGTTTGGTGAGGCTCCTCCACTGACTCACAGCACAGGGAGTCCCCAGTGTTTCTAAAACACCACTACATGGACTAAAAACACCCCCCCTTGCACACCTGTTGTCATGTGATGGCTGGTCCCATGTTTTTTTACATAATACTTTAAACTCATGGGTAGGGGGAGGAAATCAAAGTAACAGCAAAGACTAACACCCATTCCCCACCATTCAGTGCTGAAGGGAGGAGGGGGAGAAAGGAGCACACTCGAAATCCAGTTAAGAGCAGGACTCGATCCAGCTTTTGGTTCAGTTCTGCCAACCACACGAGCTACTGCAGCAGTAGCTTTACTTCCTCTCCCAGCGAGGGAGGAAGAGAAGTACTGGAAGAAAATACACCCCCACCTACCTCTGGCCAGTGACTCCAAGCCCTTTTTTCTCCCCCAAAGCAGGGAATGACCCTGAGGAAAGTTTCTGCTTGGAGAATCAGTTCAGGTGCTGCAGCAGCAGCTGCAAGAAGGACCTTCAAAGGGAGCAACTTGCACAGTCTGCAGGAAAGGATGAGGTAATGGCAACTGAATTACTTGTTCTCCAGCTGCCACTCCGGGGAGGATGGGACATTCTCCAGCACTTCTCTGTTCATGACAAGTCCATCCTTTAAGTAACCTTGGGCAAGCCCCCCTTTGCTGTTGTCCACACGCAAGGTCTGAGCCACTTCAAACCTTTTGCTTCCGGACAAGCACCTTTTGCCGCCATTTCTGTCACCTCACGTCCACAGGCCGGGAGCTCAAGCAGCTTCAGCACTCCAGGAATGTCCCCAGCCAGTGCCTACTGCAGTTCTACACATTCAGGTTCAAACACCTTCACCTGGGTTAAAGTCTGGGGCAGGTAAAGTCACTGCAGGCGCGGGGGCTGAAGATGCCCCAGTGGCTCATTTGCCGCCTGCCTCATTCACCATCAGGAGGGGCAAGCAGAGCTCAGTCTTAGTGTTTCTAGGCAGGCTTTTGGAGGTATTCTGAGACTGAGAAGGAAGAAAACCACAAAACCAAAACAAAAATCCATACATGATTTCCCAGAGACAAGGTATTTCAGGAGAGCTGCCCAGTTCCCGGGGCTTTTCACTGTCTCCCCGGTGCACGTGGGAGGTCAGCATCTCAGTGGGGTGTTCTGGGAAACACATGCACAAACATACACACATGTGCTGTCCTGGTGGGGCATTTTGCTGGGTGTCCAATTTTCCCAGCTTTCTGAGCAGGGCAGTCAGTGGGAGAAGCAGTTCCAGAAGTGCTGGTCCTTACCCAGGAGAGTCTCCTATAGCAATTCCCTCCCTGGCAGACAGGCCAGGGTGGCTTCACAGCTTGCAGCCAAGTTCTAAGGCACCACAGTAAAGAAGCCTGAAAAGGCCAGAGAGACATTTCTCAAGCCAGAAAAATAGTGTTGAGCAGCTTTCCTAGGTACAGTTGGCAGGAAACAGCCCTTTTTGCTTCTGAAACATGCCAGAAATCCACAGTGAATCAGGATGTCCAAGAGGAGGAGCGCTGGGTGGGGAGAGAGAGGCAATGCAGCAAACGCGCAGCGTGGTGCCCCGTTAATGCCCTGGAAGTGGCTGAAGTGCATCTCCCTCCCTGACACTCATCCCAGCTCCAATGGAAGTGATGCAGGCAGCAGGAAGAGCGGACTAGGTGGTGTTCTCAGGTAGCTTGTCCCGGGTCAGTCCATACTGCACACTCACGTTGTGGTCCAGCTCCTCCAGCTCAGAGGGAAGGGGGATGGCAAGTTCTCCAAGGTAGAGAGAGAGAGCTTCAAAGGAATCTTCCAGCTTGGAAAAAGGAGGCCTAGAAGCAGCAGTGAGGAAATGTGAGTGGGAAAGAGGAAGCATAACAGCATCTGGAAAGGCTGAGCCCGTTGTCCTTCCAGACCACTCTGCCACGTACAGAGCTGTGAGCAGGGACACGATTCCCTCCCCATTCAGCTTCCAAGACTGCAAAGCCCCCATCTCTCTGGGCTACCCATTTGTGCAGCCAGTGATCAGGCTCTGGCTCTTTGGAACCCACTTGGCATCAACACTGTTCTGAATGTACAGGTTTCACAACTGAGATCAAATGAGGAATTCACCTTGCTGCCGAGGGCTACCCCTACTTTTGGTACCTGAGGAGCCCCAATCGCTCCTCCTCCTCTACACTCTCTGTCTTGGAACTGTTTCAGAGATCTCCAGCATAAAGAGCGGCCTCTCTGCCAAACTGATGAGTGTTAAGTCTCTCCATGCACAGAAGCCTTTGAGCATTCCCACAGAAGGTTGGAATTGCCCTCTGTGCAGAGCAGCCTTTCCACTGTGGGAATCCTGCAGGCTTACGAAGAGGAGCCCTGCAGACCCCAAACCTACCTGCTCTCTGGCTCCAATCTGCAGCAAATAGCAGCCAGAGGGAAAAAGGCTGGAGGACAGTCAGCAGGAACAAACTTCTCCCAGAACAGCTTGACATTAAGGCCAAAATCCAGTGTGCGTGGAAGACAGTCTGGGTCAGCATAAACCTGGCCTATGATCTAGGGAAAAATGAGAGAAGCACTTCAGTACTGCAACAGGTCCAGAGTGTTATCAGAGAACTTCAGCAGCAAGCAGGGGCTCCTTCAAACTATTATGGTGGAAGGGAAAGAACAGAAACATTGTTCCTCCCGTCCAGTGGGGCCACTGGAGGCCCAGACCCCTTCTCGTGCCCAGGGTCTCTCTGCCAGAAGACACGGGATGATGTGCCCCTCCAGGGAGCTCGACAGTGACTCACTGCTGGGGATGACACAGCCCCTGGTGACTGCAGGTGATCCACACAACCTGCACCACCATTCCACCTCTGCCCCGCTGCTGCCCCAGAACTCACCACCTCCAGCATGAGGGCACTCACAGGGTACCAGAGGGAAGGAGCCCAGAGCAGAGCTCGGGGGTGATCTGGACTCACAAGGTCAGTGTCAATACAGACTTTCACAGGGACAGAGCATTAGGTTTAAAGCCTCATCGGGTATCACAAAAAGGGTGTTATTTATACCCACCCAGGCTTTTCTATGCCAATAACTCACAGCAGGGCAACCACATCCTGTAACTAGACAGTGGCACACCCACTATGTGTTTTGGCAGGGTTATTTCCTTATCTGAGTGTAGAGCTTTTTTTTTTTTTTTTAGCATTGTTGTTTTGGGGACAAAGAAAACGTTCATGTGCTCCTACCCCTTTATTTGTCTTTCTTTTTCTAAATGAAACAATTGTTTTAATCCCACATACAGATTTTTCAAGTTCCTAGATCTATCACTCACAACCACAACATTCTCTGAGAGGAGGGCCCAGTGTAAACAGAGCTCCAGATGAGGCCACAAAGATTTATGCACAGACATTTGCTTTGTCCCCTTCATCCAAACGCTGACAATGAAACTGTGCTGGCATCCCCTGGTGTTCCTGTAACTGCTGTGTTACACATAACACCCTGCCTTTCATCTGTATTTCCACTGTCATACACACCTTTTAAACTGAAAACACCTTGTGGCTTTCAAGTGGTGCTTCTTGTTCTGCAGACAGAAAACCTGATAGAACAGTAAGACTGTGCATTGGCTCAGAAATAAACTAAGCCCACAGACTTCAGGGGGCAGCTTCATTAATCGACCTGCAAAGAGGTTTCTGCTTCCCTTCCTTTGAAGTGAAGTGCCATCCCCAGTGGAGGCCCTGAATTTGCTGAGATTGTGCAGATGATTGTTCTTTCAGTGAGGCAGTAAAAAAAGAAAGTATCACATTTCTGGGTAATAATTTCAAAGGGATAGCAGGGCTCAGTCAGAACTTGATGACTTTTTTACAGCTTCTCTCAGTCCAGGAGGAACCTCTGCATTTCTTTCAGTCCAGGAAGAAACTGGGACCAGGAAAAAACTACAAGCCAGTTACCTCCCTTGAGGAAACAGAGGCAGGGTACACTCGCCCTCCAGTCTAATTCACTGATAATGTGCTGCAGGTCACAGAGTGCACACTCAGCCACGGAGACCTGGCTGATACCATGTGTGCAAGGAGATGGCAGTGGGGAAAAGGGTCATTAAAAATGCCATGTCACATCCTTGTCTTACCTCACAGAGAACAATCCCAAATGAAAAGATGTCCACCATCTCATCGTAGCTCTGGCCTGCAGGAAACATAAGACAGTCAGCTCTGTAAGACACAGTTGCCCATCCAGCTATGCCAGGAGCTGCCAGGCCAAAGTTTATCTAAGCCTGTTCCCTGGAGGGCACTAAAATAGGTGACAAAGCGAAGGCTTAACTCTGAGCAGGGTGAGTCACCCCAAGATACGTACACACCAACTGCACCTTCCCATACGCTGCCACCACAGGTTTTAAGCCTGCTCCTTTCTTATCCTGGGGAATTGCAGCACAGTGCAGGGAAGTGTGTTGTACAGACCCGGGTATCAGCTCTGAGCAAGCGCTCGGGATAAGTGTGGGAAGCTTTTGCCCGTTCCCCTTGACTGCTGTTGTAATGCATCTCCACAGTGCAGTCAGTGCTCAGCTTCCCCAGCAGGCAGCGAGTCCCTCTGCAGTGACTGCAGGGATAATAAATTACACACCGGCAGCACTTTGATCCCGGGAAGGCAGGCAGGCTCCAGCCTGCCACGCTCTGCTTACAGACACATCCCTCCCAAGCCAGTATGTGGTAAACAGAGGTGATGTCAGACTGTGCTCTTGCTGTTGTTCTGACAAATGGCAGGACTGAGACAGGCTCTGAGAAACAGCCCCAGACTCCTGGGGTCTCCAAGGCTCTCAGGCCTTGAGAGAAGGTGAACAGAACAGCACACAAGAAAGCAACATGGAGAAGAACTGAGCTGAGGGAGAAGAGCCCAGTCCTCCCTTTCCTGCTGGACTACGCTGGACAGTGCTGATACCCCAGCCAGCCAAACTGCCCAGCCTGATCAGACAGACCTGCTCGTCAGGAGGAAATTGTGTCCATTGTATTCCCTCACCTCCAATCCTGCACGAGTGGCTTTTCCTCTAAGAGTCTCTGTTGAACCTTAATGCAGCTGAGGGCTGCATGCCAAAACCCTGATTTCCCTGCACTTGGACAACTCCCACCTCAATCCTGAGGCTTCTGCAAACCTGGCAGCAGATGGCTTCTCCCTGGATCTACACAGCAGCACACATAAGCCTCATCCTGGAGTTTAACCATGCCCTGTTTCCAGGGGCCGTTCCAAAGCATGAGGCTGTAACAGAAACTGATCTCAGGTTCAGTCTTATCTTAGGCCTCTTTGGTTTTCCCTGTTATCTGGATTACAGGAAGCTTACATCTGTTGCCCTCCTGAAGAGTCCTGTTGTCGAGCCAGAAACATTCCCTGGGCTGGCACAAAGGCTTACCAGGTCAGGTACTGCAGCTACAGCACCTGTGTGTATAAATAAGCTCCCACATTAGCACGTCTAAAATCACTGGCTCTAATAGGTTTGATTGTTACTGGGGCCAGAAGCTTTCAGCAATCCTGTCATCCCTGTACCCTGTCACAGCTGTCCCCTCCCCTGCTGCTGCTCTGGGATCTTACCATTGAGCATCTCGGGGCCATCCAGTACGGGTTCCCCACCACCGTGTAGCGCTTCTTCCTGTCGCTCTTGCGCAGGGTTCGCTTCTTGGCCGAGGGTTTCTCCAAACTGGGCTTTTTCCTCTCCTCCACAATCAGCCGAGACAGACCAAAGTCGGCCACCACCACTGTCTTATCCTGCACAAGGGATTGAGTACAGCCCACTGATTACACTCAGCTCCTCTCAGGAGCAAAGAGGCTGCAATTCCTGTTCGCTGAGAGGGCAGCTGTTCCAGCTCCCTGCGGCCAGATGAACATACAAGATGCATAGACAGGTGTAAGACACCCAATTCATGATCCCAACCCATCATTTCCTCCCTTCATTGCCTCATTTCCCATGTGGTCAGTAACACTTATCCCTTCAATTTGGCTACACTTGCCAGGGTGAACCTGGACCTTTCCTTTCAGACCTTCCTCTTCTACCTGGCCAGGAATTAAGTTGGCCTTTCACCCTTGGTCATTTTTTTCACCCACATGCTCATCTCCTATCCCAGCCAAGTGAACAAGGGCAAGGTTTGAGGGAATGAAGCCACATAAAACTCCTGTGACCCAGAATTTCAAAAAAGGAGAGCACACTCGTGTGCACACCCCCACACACTTGTCTGAATCCTGAGTGCCAATAAAAAAAGTCATCAAGTGGTTAAAAGAACAGAAGCAGCTGTAGAGAACATCTCATAGCTGAGATAAGGAACAGAACTGTACTAACTCTGATGACTGTTACAGGAGTTGTTACCAGGGGAAAGGGGGGAAGAGAACAGAACACAGAAACAGAGAAAGCCAGATCAGTCTGGAAAACCCTGTGTGCAGATGAAGCTCCCTTGTTTAGGGCACTAGAAGCCTCTCTGAAATCAGTTCCACCCTGACAAAAGAGGAAGCATCAAGCAGAGAAAACCAGGGGAGGAAGACACTAAGGAGAGGAGCAGCAAGCTGTGGGAACAGAGGTGTTGCTCACCAACTTGATCAGGCAATTGTGTGAATTCAGGTCTCTGTGAATGATGCACATGGAGTGCAAGTAAGCCTGGAACAGAGGGAGAAGAGCTGGTGTTAGGGGTTCCCAGGTGGGCACGTCCCCTCACATTTACAGACTCGAGAACCTGATGCCAGTAGTCAGGCAGGGTCTGCAGCCCCTCATACACCACCCTGCTGAAGCTGCTGACCCTGTGACAAAGGAACAGCCCAACTCACCATTCCAGAGGCAATCCCTTTGGCAAAGCTGACCTTCTGCTGCCAGGGAAATGGGTCCTGAAAGATAAGTCCTCAGTGGTCAGTCCTATCTTAGCAGCTGGGGACAGCAATTCCTCCACACCAGGGACTCTCACAGCAGCCACAGACACGACACAGCCCCGGAAAGAAGAGGTTTCCTGCCTCAGACCCACACACAGCTAAGAAGCAGCTTTACCACACAGCTCCAAAGCAGACTAAGAACAAGCAGATCAGGCTGGTACAACCAACCCCACAGTCAGGCTCACGGAGCACAGCTCTCCCAGGAATGCCAACTCACTGCACTGCGGAGGAAGTCCTTCAGTGTGCCCCCCTCGATGTACTCGGTGAGCAGGTTCAGCTTCTTGTCCTTGTACAGCACCCCAATGAACTTGAGCACGTTGGGGTGGTCCAGGCTGCGCATCACTTTCACCTGCAGGCAGAGACATCCCACCCCAAAGAGTGAACGGAACAAGTCCTGACAGATTGCTCTGGGGTGACAAGCTCTCCAGTGCTGAAGGTCCCCTCCAGAGATCAGAGAACACTCAAACCCCAACCTCAGTCAGTTAAGTGTTGCCTCTTCATTTTCACACCGTGCATTTAACCTGATCTTAGTCATTAAGGAGAGCACCCTTGAGCTGGGCTAACTTTTCAGAGCCAGCAGCTGTCCAGGGCAGCTCTCAGCTCTGTACTGCAGGTGTCAGGGCTGGACCAGCGGTGTCAGGTGCTCAGGGAGCTGCCTTTAAGCTAAATCTGACTTTGGAAAACATCGTAGGCACCACCAAGAAGATAGTTCAGCTTAAATACAGCAGGAGTCTTAAATATCTTATAGATATTGGCCCTCATCCTTTGTATTTATGCACAAGGCTCAAGGGATAAATCCTTTATGTACTGCACAGCTCAATTTGCCTCAGACTCGGGCTGCTTTTTATCACTGAAAAATTAATGAACTGGAGCTGAAGCCACATCTATTGCTCAGTGTGAGTCACACTTCACTGCAGCAAACTTTCAGCTCATGTCAGCTTTTCCCCCTGCAATGTCTCCCACCTCAGCACCTTGATTCCTGCCAGGCTGCTGGCAGGATCGCTCTCTCTGAAGAATATGGAAGAGAGTTCCACCACACTACAGGCTCAGAAGCTTTTTGAAGTCTTGCTCCTACCTCTGTCAAAAAAGTCTTCTGTGTTTCCTCATCACAGCGAATCAGCTCCTTCATCACCATCACCTTTCCCGTTGCTTTGTGAGTCACCTGGCGGAAAGAAAACCCACAACTACAGGCAAGGTTCAAGAATACACAATTCCAATGCTCCTGAAACTCTTCTGAAAGAGAGGGTAACATTCCCCTCCATCCAGAGAGGAGGAATAAAGGTGGGAGAAAATTCAGAGGCCAAGGATCTGCCGAAAACTATAAGAAATTTCTCCTTTCGGAATCCAGCAGATTCTGTTTGTGAAACAGAAACTACCTAAAGCTGACAGAGGATCATGCCAAGAAGCAGAGCTGAAGCCTCCTCTGGGTAGCACAGTGCTGAGCATGCACACAGGCTGCAACTCTCCCCTTCTGTTGCTGAACTTGGACAGCTCTGGCTCCCTAAGATCTCCAGGGAACTAAACTAAACAACCACCTGGTCTCTAGGGACAGGAGGGGACAACGTGACCAGCTACAGTACTTGCTGCATCAAACCCAGTCGATCTGGAGTTTAAGAAAAGTGTCACTTTTTTTGCCTCCTACCCTTTAAAATAAAAAGCCTTTCAGAAAACCTCCAGAACTGCAATCCAAGACACAAGACCCTGTTCCAGCATTTAGGAAGCTTATGAGCTCTTGCAAACACTAATTCTGTTTGGAACCATGGGACATAACAAGGCTGGTATAGTGTGAGTGTGGAATAACATGGAATAACACAACAGAAGCAAGAGTACAATATTCTCCTGCTCCATAATCGAGCATCCATACACAGGCAGCGAGCCAGGGAACACCACACATTTCAGCCAGGGACATGAAAGCCAGAGACATCTAAAACCCAAAGATAAAGGGCAGTGAAGAGACAAAGACAAAGCTCAGTGGGATTCTTAAGCTGACATACCAGCAAAACTGAAACAAGTGTCATCATGGAACTCCAGGGGGGCAGTTTGAACTCCCAGAACATGCACTGGAACAGGATGGCCATGGGGCAATTTGAGCAGAAAAGAAATGCCTTTGTGCCAGTAACTGTGGGGACACAGGTGACACAAACATGCGACAGAGCAAAGGTTCCACTTACCTGCACCTGTTATTTCTCTATGAGCAGAGGAAAAGAGAAATATGCTCATTAGTATGGATCAAAAGCAGTGGGGTTGTAGAACTGGCACATCACCTCCCGTGGAAGCACGAGATGCAGATGGTGGCTGGACACCCCAAGGTTATACCCTTGTATATGTAAGGAGAGAAGTCCCATCTCATGGTGAGTGCAATCTGAGTCCTGAGGAGCTCACAGCACCTTAACAAGGCAGAGGAAGTTGCCCCCTGGTGCCAGGGATGTTGGGACAGGAATTGCTGGAGCACCCCCTGTCAAGACCCCAGAGCTAAAATGCAAGAGAACTGCTATTGATGGAGATTTTAACTGTGAAAGTCATGCAAGACCTGACCACTGCCCTCACACTGACAAGATATTTAGGCTCTGCTGTGAGTTCAGAGATGGTCACGACATCAGCCTGGCAAACCCCAAGCCTGCCACACTGAGGGTGGGTGAGAAATGCTCCGGGGAGCTGAATGCACCTCCTGCATAGGGAAGATGCCTGTAAGAGGAGGTGTGGCCTGTCACCTGCTCTGTCCCCCTCACCCAGGCAGCTGCTGTCACACAGGCACTCGGAGAGCTGAATCTAACTCAGGAGATGAGCATCTGTGGCCAAGCTTGACACTCAGAGGGGACAAAGTCAAAACCATCTGCAGCCAGAGACACTCAGGGAATGAAAGAGAAATGAATCTCAGAGCAAACCAGGGAAGATCCAAGACCAATCACTCTCAGCAAGGCAAACACCGCTGAGACAGCGGTGAAGGATCCTGAGACAGGCAGACATTGCTGTAATCAAAGTAAATGATGAATGTCTGGGGACCCCCTCACCTTGATCGCTTGTCCAAAAAACCCTTTTCCTAGAACTTCGCCATGAATCAGGTCACAGGGCCGGAAGATTTGCTGGGAGCAGCTGGAAGAGGAGCGCAGGGATTCGGAACGACTGATGTCACGGCTCAGCAGGAGCGGCTCCTTTGGAGAGCTGGGGCCAGGAGATTTGGAGATGCTGTTACTTCTCCTAGAAAACAGAGAAGGCAGGAAGATCAGGGAAGCTGCTGGGAAACGTCTGGTCCAACATATCCCATCACTCGCTCCTAAGGGACCAGTTTCTATGTGTCCTTCAGGGCCCTTGATATCCCCAAAGCCAGATGCTCTCCCAGCACTGGGGAAGCTCTTTAGGAACCCAGAGCAGATTCCAAGTCAGAGCTGCCTGACAACAACACACCTCCTGCACTGGCAGTCAGGGATGGAGCTCTGGGAAAAGGGGGAGGAAGCTGTGAAGACACAGCACTTGCTATCTCTAAACAAAGATTAAAACACTGGTAAAATGACTAAATGAGCACCTGAGTGCCCTACTCTTGTAAGACAAGGTCTCAGCCAGATTCCCCTTAAGGACACATCCTTCTCCAGCCATTTAAGGCTGGTAAAAATCTGACCTTTACATTTTTTTAACTGAAACTCAGTAGCTTTTCTCTGCTAACAGGAGAGTTCCTTACTTCTATTAAGGAAAGTCTGTCATCCTGAAAGGGAATGGAGAGAGTACCCATCAACAGCAGAACCCAAAGCTCTCCATGGCCTCTCCAATGATTTATCCCACCACCCACATCAGAGATAAGCCACGTCCCCACAGTCATGGCGGTGCCAGGCCCGGGCACAGAGCTGCCCAGCCAGCGAGCACAGGGCAAAGCCAAGCCAGGCCAGAGGCAGCGCTTCCGAGTCTCTACCTGAGGGAGCGCCGGCGGAGCGTTCCTTCCAGGTTCTCCTTGATGTCCAGCGGGGACAGGGAGCGTGGGGAGATGGGTGGCTTTATGTGGGTGGGCAGGCGGGAGTCCAGGCGGAGCCTGTCCAGGCGCTGCGAGACGGGGTCGTGCTCTATCAGCAGCTGGAGGGTCTGGCTGGTCTTGCGAATCAGTTCCTCCACCTGAAATCAAACCAAAGGACAGCACTGCAGCACATGGGAGGAGCACAGACAACAGCAGACAGAGAGCACCCTCAGGACTCAGAGGAGAGAGTTCAGTGAGGTCACCCCATAGCTGTGGTTTAGTTGTGTGCACCACAGTCTGTCAGACAAATCAGACCAGCGGCACAGAAGCTCCTTGTGCTGCCCGATCCTTTCTGGTCAGCTCCAAGTAACCGACACAAAGATGTGGACAGGCTGGAGAGGGTCCAAAGAGGGGCCACAAAGATAATCCAAGGGCCGTGAAGCTGCCGCGTGAGAAAAGGCTGAGAGAATCGGGTTTGTTCAGCCTTGAGAAAAGAAGGCTGAGGGGTGACCTTTATCACCATGTTCCAGTGTTTAAAGAGTGGCTACAAAGACGATGGAGACTCCCTTCTTACAAGGAGTTACGTGGAAAATACAAGGGGTAACTGGTACAAGTTAATCCTGGGGAGATTCCAATTAGACACAAAAGGACAGTTTTTCACAAAGAGAACAATCAGCCCTTGGAATAATCTCCCCAGGGAAGTGGTGAATTCCACAGCATTGGACACTTTTATGTTTCAGCTGGACAGGGTGCTGAGCCATCCTCTCTAGACTGTCCTTTTGCCAAGAAAGATCGGACCAGATGATCCTTGAGGTCCCTTCCAACCTGGTATTCTATGACTCTATCAAATGCTTTTCTTTTTCTGATAAGTGTTCAAAAAACTACACAAGTTTCCACCTCGAACAGTGCTGTAAAAAACAGCTTTGAAAGAGCTACACAGAGATTTATCTGTGAGATGTCTTGTGCTCCTTGTGTTCTCTTCAGCACCAACAAAAAATAAAACCCTTGGGAAGTGAAGGTAATGGTGGTCTCACTCCACTCCTGCAGCACCACCTGATATCTGTGTAAAGCTCCCCCTATGATCAGCTGGGCCCTTGTGAATAAACAGTGTCCTCTCAAAGGCTCAGAACAGTGCACTTCACTAGCACTACCTGGGAAGTCTTCACAGCCTCTCTGTCCTCTCTCACAGCCCTGGACTTTTCTTATTGCCTCCCTTTACATTTGAATGCCACAAAATCATTCCTGCATCCTAACTGCATTTCCATCTGTTACATTTTCCTCTCCAGCTGGAAGGCAAAGCTTGTCCTCATGTCTATTCCTACTGTCAGCACAGAGTGCTGGGGCTGTACACACTGTGTGTGGGGTGGGAGAATGGTGTCAGGAAACAGAGAAGGTGTAGGAAGGCAGAGGAGAAGGAGGCTTCAGAACAGAGCTCCACCCACCTCCTCCACCTGTAAGGTGCGAATGGGAGCTCCGTTGATCTCCAGGATCCGATCCGCAGGGTGGATGGCATTTCGGACATCCGGGCTGATGTGCATCCTATTGACTCTAAACACGGGAATTACAGTGTGTGTGAGAAGTCAGTTTAGCCAAAATTATATAAAAAAAAGCTTCCCTTCATATTGGTGTTTTGCAATAAAACAGCACTAATCGACCAGCACAGGGAGCTCCCACGAGACCGAGTGCTTCGGTCTGATCTGGTTTGGAGAGAGCTCGCCACGACCAATGGCAAAATTGTCAGTCCATTACAATCCTCCAAATGTCTTGTGTCCAGTGAAGGAGACAGCACTGAGAGATAAAATTATCAGTTAAGGTGGTCACAAGACTGAAATGGAGACCAAACACAGATGAGAGGTCCCTGCGATGCCGAGATCCTCCCAGGACAGCAGCGCTGCAGGATCCATCCCAGCTCCCCCTGCACAGACACGTCCACTGCACACAGCCTGGTTGTACTCACTCTTTCACCTGGACACCAGTGGCATAGCTGGAGCAGCTCCCCCCCTCCACAGACACGGAGAAGCCCCTCTTGCCGTCCGTGGCGGCGGGCATGGAGATGAGGGTCAGCGTGTAGGGCAGCTGCTCCCGCAAGGACTCCGTGGAGTGCTTTTCTATCATGGGTGTCAGCACAATCTGGTTGTGGCATTTCCCACTGAAAGAAGTGAAGAAAGTCATCAGGCAGCGTCCTGTCCCCCCCTGCCAAACTCACACCTAAGTTCTCTCACTGACCACAAGCCGCAGCTTTTAGTGCTTGCAGCTTTTAGTGCTTACACCGTTCCTTCTTCCCTCCCTCCAAAGGCAGCTTCCTGGCATTCCTTAGAGTAGCATTTGGCGGAACAGGGCTTACACTCAGCAGGGAGCAGCTCCTCTTACCAGTAGAGAGTGGAATGTTGCACCAGTGCATAAGTGTCCCCATCCTCGATGATCACTTTGCAGCTCATACAAGCGAAGCACTCGGGGTGATACTTGTATTCGCCAGCCACCTACAGACGGAAGAGGGAGTAACTTAAGCAGGGCCAAAATCCATCAGCACATGCAGCTCCTGTTTTCCTCTCTAATTAACGAGATCATTCACAGCTCAAAGTCAAGCGGCAGGTTTTTACTGGAGAGTTTTATTAGCCCTTTCTGTCTTTCCTGAACCCCATCCTTGGCACCTTGTTTGCAGAACTCCAAAACAAACATGTCAGCATGCAGAGCAAAGCTTGTGTCCCAGGGACCTCTGCTATATTTGGCAGCTGCTCAGCTATCAAAAATAGTTGATCGTCTGCTGGAGACTAGTAAACAAGGTATTAAACCTTCCTGTTCAGTTGCTCTTGGCAAGATAACTAATGTTACGCCTGAATTAATAAAGCTGAAAGGGCTTTTTTTTTTTTTGGCAGACAGGCAATGCACAAATTCAGATGCTTTACCAGCCAGCTGACAGAAAACTGAGACAAAAATACCTTTAAAGAATATTTTTATTCATTGATCTGTTTTTCTGTTCTCCTTATGAGAACTCCTCTTATTGACAGTATTCTGCAAAGACTTCTGCAGGCAATGAGAAATTGTCTGCACATTTCTCAGTGCTGCGTTTTGAGGTGGCAACGGTATCCCTGAGTACCACACTGCTTTTATTTAGGCCCTAGAAAAATAACAGTCATGTTTCATTCTGACAGTTTTAAAGGTTAAATATTTGCAAGGTTGTGGCAGGAGGGGAACATTTAGGTGAGCTCCATATTGTGCAGGCAGAATTCAATGCTTCAAAAGCAAGTTCAAGCCCGAAGCAACTGGGTCTAACACTATTTCAAGACACCATCAGCCTGAAAAACCACTCTGGTCACAGCCCAGGTGGGACTTGGATGGCAACATTCCCCAAAGCCAGAACCTGCTGCTTAACCTGAGCCGAGAGGTTTGATTCTACCCTGCAGTGGAAAATCACCCTGTGCAAACACTGAGGCACTCACTGTGTTCAGAAACCGAACACGTCCCCCAAATCACTCCTCTGCTTCTCAGGCCTGTGCATTTCAGCACTTCACTTTCTTTGTTCATACACTTCAGATCCTCACAGCTCCCTCCTTCAAGGGCTACCCCCATGCAAAATCAATCTTCATCTACAAGATGCACACACAGGCTCCATTTCTAATCTTTGATTAGAGAAGCAAGGAGACTGTTACCTTCAGGTTATTTGCTTATCTTTATACTAAGACAACACCTAACTACGTTTGAGGAGTTCAGGCAGGAATCCTTCAGTCCTTACCATCACAGGTCCAGTCATCAGCAGAGAGCAGCCATGGCAGGATTCCCCAAACTTCCCCCAGTAGTCTTTGTGACAATACAGCTTCCCATCTTTCTCGTAGTACCAGTTAGTGAGGGGATCCTGACATTCAGAGCACCTTGAGGAAAACAAAGGAACAAAGTTCCAGGTGGCAACAAGTCACAAATCAACAGAAGAGGTCCTGTCCTGCGTGGAGGACACAGACATTCAGCAGCAGCTCACCAGCAGCTCTTCTAGCTGTGGATGGACTAAACTCTACTGACTCCCAATGCTCCTTCAGCTGAAAATTAGCACCAAACCCAAGGTTTGTAAGGAGAGGTGGAATCAACCAGCACAAAGTGTAAAACAAATCCCACACATTAAAACACACCAGTAGCTTTATTAATTCTGCTTTATATTTTGCTCCTCTGCTCTCTCTCTCTCTTCCTGGATGCAAGTTTCCAGCCACAGAGTTGCCCAGCACAGAGACAGCTCTGCTGTGTTCCTACTTGGTGTTTCTACAGCATCAACCATCTTGTGCCAGAGCACTTGTCCCCTCAGCCAGTTTAGGAAGGGGCACAGGGAGGCAGGATCCACTTCCCTATGCAACACAGAGCCAGATTTGCACCAACCTTTGTGGAAAGCTTTTCTAGTCTTCTGTAAGCAGACCTCTCCCAAAAGCTAAACAACTCTCCCCCCTCCCCCCCAAAAAAAAAGAAAAGAAAGAAAGAAACAAGGGAAAAGATGCAGCAATTCTGCTGCAGATACCTCTTAGCAATCACCAGCAGAACCCAGATGTTCAGGCTTCCTGAACACACAGTAATCCTGCCTCTTCAGCAGCAGGGAGGTGTGACACAATGGAGAGATAAGGCACAGACAGCAGTTGCATCACTAAAGATGATTCCATTAGCCCTGGGCAGCACGTTCTCAGACTTTAAAAGGAAAATTAGTCTGGCAGTGGCCATTGGTGAGCCGGGATCCCAGGTGGGTTAGTCACCAATAACCGGGATCCCAGGCGGGTTAGTCACCAATAACCCGTTCCGAGAAACACCTCGAGGATCAATGTGTCATTTCTCCAAAGGTGGAAGAGTCTCTTTTGCCTCTTACCTCAATACCTGTCCCAGTTACTGCACTGGGGTGGGGGGTTAGGTCGGTGGGGGTCCTCCCACAGCACCCAGTGCACTGGAGTCACTGGTGGCATTGGAGGTGCACTTTTTATGTACTCCCAGGGCTAAGATGAGAGCTACTGTTGACTTCACCTCTCACAAGCTTCCCAAAAGCTTATTTGTGCCAAAGACATTCCTTGTAAACTCCACCAGCTTGTAATGAGCGTGATGATACGTGAAGCTGGTTGTGCTCCAACACTGAGAGTTATTTGCTCCATCTCAAGAGACTGCACAGCAACAGGGTAAGGCTGCTTGTAAGCAGCCTCTGGTTTTAGGGGAAAACACCTCATGAAGTACTTAGTGCCATACCCTGCCCTCAGGAAGATTGCTCCTTCTAACATATTTGGCTCATAACAGTGTTTGTTCTCCCAGCTGAGGAGCATCAAATCCTGCTCCCCCTCCAAGTGATGGGAAAGGACTCCAGCACGTGCAACAGGCCCTGCCAATTCTGTCTGGAGCAGAGGGAGCAGCGAGTCAAGGTTGCTGTAGGTGGTACATCCATCACTGCAGCCCCAGCCTGGGGGCACTGCCGTGGTTACACCCTGCTCATGGTATGCAGGAGACCCAGAGGGCATTGTGCCTCCAACCACCGGCCTTTGGCTTCATCTGCAGTAAATACCCCTCGCTGAACGAGCAAGGGGGTGAGTGGGAGGGAGAAAAGAGCAAGTGGAGACTAACAGCAAAGATTTCTATCGCCTTGTGGCAGGAACATCTGGCTCAGCACGGGCAAATCGGATCCCTCAGACTTATCCAACTTCTGCATGCATGCCTGTACCAGTGTGTGCTCCAGCACTGATTACATCTTCCAGCAGGGAGCTGTGACCAGACCTGCATTTGGGATGCAGACAGCGATGCTGGAGACTGCTCCACCTGGCTTTCTGTCTCTCTCCAAGCAGGTGGGTTACTTATTTATTTGTTTTTAGGCACAACACCTTCCCTTCCTCACCTCTCCTCATATTTACCTTCAACCACCCCTTTTTCTCCCTAAGAAAATCTAAAATTTCTGCAAAAACTTCAACTCTATTTAGGTGGGCTCCAGGGGATTATGTACATTTGTCTTTCCTTTACCCCTCTTCTCCTTCTCCGTGGTTTCATCCAACCTCCCAGCACTTGGGCTTTTTTGCTTCCATCCGGAAATAAGCACTGGTACCTAATGTGAAACACACCCACAGAAAAACGAAGGTGAGGAGGTGGAGCCAGCAAGCAGTCAGTTCTTTGCTATGTAATTAAACAAATCTGGGCAGGACAAGTTTGCAGCTTAAGGCTCAGAACCCCACCCTGGGCAATGAGGCAACAGGAACAGAGTCCCAGAGAGGCTGGGAATGGGCCTAACTGGCTGCTTCCTTAATCTCTGCCAGCAAGAGGACAAGGCTGCAGCCCACAGTGCCAAGCAGCACCTTTGTTACTCACCATGCACTCTGGAACCTGGGACAGGCTTTAGGTTTGACAGGTGTGGGACACTGGCTGACAGCACAGGTGTGGTTTCAGTGCCTCGGCCCAAAGGATAAAAGCATCACATGGTTGTTCCACACGGCTCTCACTGAAGAGATTGCTGAATATTATCCTGTCAGAATTTTATCACAGAAGATACAACTTCTTCCTTTCCCTCCTCACTAGAGCTGTGGCACTGCAGCAGGGCTCACATCAGCTGAGACACGAACACAGCTACTGCTGCAGCTATTTAGCAGCTACCCTTTGCCAGCCACCATGACCAAAGGAAAGGAAGATTTCATGCTCCTCCATGCTAGTCGTTTATAGATTAGAAACCACTAATCTTCTCCTCGATGATTTGCTGTTCTTATTACAGAGTAACAAAGCATGGCAATCAAGTTTCATGGAGGGCTGGTAACAGCCCTACCTGCCGTGTTTCCTCTTGCTGCCCAGCTACCATTTTCAGAGCCACAGAACCTTGCTCTGATTATACAGACCAGACCTCACGATTCTTCACTTCCCAGACAAAATACAATTAATCTGCCTCCCACAGCCATCCCCCAGGAACCCCAGGCAGCATTTGGGTGCAGTGCTCAGTCGGGGTGATCTGCAGCACAGCAGGTGCAGGAAGAGTTCACAAATCGCTGCTGGATGGACTCTGGGTTTTGTGGGGGGTGGCAGGAGGATCAGGTCACAACAGGTAACCAGCCTGGTTTCAATTGATGTGGCATCTCTTTTACAGCTACATGAAAGCCAATACCTTCATGGAAGCAAAGACTTCCCTGGCACTGAAGAGCCAGATCCCTGTGAGAAGGGCTCATTAACAAAATGCCCCCCTCACACTCACTGTGGGGCCGGATCAGTTAACGCTAGGCAGGCTCGGGAGAGCCCCGGTTCCAATCCTGCAGGCAGCGCTGGGGGGGGCACAGCCACACAGCCAGAGCTGCAGGATGAAGCACAGCCCCAGCCTGCAGCTGACCCAAGGGCTTACTCACCCGGGCTCAGCAGAAGCGTGTGCTCTGCCCACGTAGGAGACACCAGCCAGGGAAGGACAGATACTAGAAAACGGACTGCTAGAAGACAGAGTGTTTAAGCTCTGACTATGCAAAACCATTTCCACACACTTAAGAGAAGGTGTATCTATGGCTTAGCATAATACCCTACACATATTACAAATAATGAAGTGCGCTCACTTTCCCTCTTCTGAAAGCAGATGCTGTTTCAGAAAGTTGGCTAAAGAAGCTCATCAAATGCACAACAATATTTACTCTTGTCCTAGACTGCTTCAACAAAAAGCTCCTTATTCCCAAATCAGCACAAAAGTGTTTGCAGAACAGGATCAATAACAAGCAAATCCGAGCGGAGGGATAGGAGGCAGACAATGAAAGTGCAAGCTGTGCTTTTCCTCATCCATCCACCTCATCAGCACATCAGTCACCAGCCCGGCTGTGTTCAGCCCCACTAACTGTTCTCACCGCGGACATGCAATGCAATCAAAGCTTGATTCTGGAGCTATCACCTTTCTCGAGCCTCAGTTGTTCAACTGGACCAAGAACAAATAAAAATTGAATAAACCAAAATACCCCAGAAGAACCCTTTCCACGCAGGGGAAGTGTGCTGCTCATCCCTAGTTACCCGCAAAGCACCTGATTTCTTTCCTCAAACAGGATTATGCGCTGCCTCGCTGCAGGTTACATCACCTTCCTGCACTCCCACAGCAGCACCTCGGCTCACCCTGTGGTGCCCAGGCACAAGGAGCTTTGGAAAAGAAGCAGCAGCAGGCACAGTAATCTCGTTCCTGTGCCAGTGAGCGAAGCACGGGGCACCGGGCACAGTGGCACATCCCGTGCTCCCTGAGGGGGAGCCTGCCTGGGCTGCGCACACACTGGAGCCACTCTCTACACCCGAGAGCTGGGAAGGGGTTGGCAGCAAGAACCTCCCCTGTTGCCTCCTCAGAGACACACAGGATCCCAGTTTGAGGCCGGCTGTTCCCGGCACACACGCACTGACGCTTTAGGATTCCATCACAGGAGGGGAAACAACACTCTGGAGGTCCAGTGCTAATCCTGGGCAAGACTTACCGAAAGGGATCCTTAGGAGCGAAGTAAGCTGGGGCAGACAAGTAACTTCCCATCTTCAACACTGGATAAACCGGCTCAGCCACAAACTCGTCCAACTGCCTCTGAACAGCTCTGTTCTGCCAACATGGCAGCAGCCAGGGCTCATTTACTCTTGCGCTGATTCAGATACTTCACCTCTCTTTGAAGCTGCCCAAGGAATGCCAGGTCTCTCGGCTGCTCATTCCTCTTCAGACTTTTCCCGGCTCCCATGGCCATAAACATCTCCTCCCGCACTCCGCAGCAGCAGCACCTCGGGAAGGACAGAATCCCTGCTAACCGGGCTAGTTGGACATGCTGCTGCAGCGGTTCCTGCGAGCTCTGCTGCCTGCTAACTATTGTCAAGTTTTCCCTTCCCTGGTTCCACCCAAGGGTGGGAGGGGAGGAGGAGCCATGGCAGGCGGACAGCGGCGGCTCCAGAGCCT